ATTTTTGATAGTGTTGGGAATTAAACCCAGAACCTCATGCTTACTGGGCAAGTGCTCTACCACTGAATACCCTTAATGTTCTAAAAAACATTTTAATTAGTTAACAACTTTTTAAAATTTGGAGAATTTATACAAAAAAAAAATCCAATGTCTAGTACTTTAAAAAAAAAAATCGGAAAATCTTAGCGTCAGCCTTCAGAGCAACAATGAAACTGGTCATTCCTGGGGATGCCACTGTCACCACTGCCCCCCTTTCTGTGACAACACTGAAGCTGGACACCGGGTTTCTTTGTACACAACCCAACTCTCAGTTTACCCCATTTTACTCAGCTGAGCTGGCTGAGTTCTCATCTGTCCTTACATGTCCTCTGTCCCCCTCTCCCTTCCAAATGTAACCCACATTTGGGCTCTTTCTCTAGCTCCACCTCCTAGTCAGAGCAGGAGTTAATGGAGCACATTGTAGGAATCTCAGTGTGCAGGCTCCTGGGAGTGGGCCCTAGGCATCTCCTCAAGCTCCTGGTGTCACAGTGGACAACTCAATTAAGAAACTGTGCACCAGGACTGAAGTGTAAGAGGCAAGCTTAGCAAAGGGCAAGCTCTCCATTATTGAATGTGTGTCCGTTAGGGAGATGAACATTCCCCAGGATGTATGGGAGGACCTGCCATCACTGGCTGTCCTTTTGGAAGTTATCTTTTAAAAACAAAACAAAAAAAAAAAAAATACAACAACATAAAAACCTTTAGTGAAGTATAATTAACACCTACTAATTCACATATTCTAACTACAGTTTGATGAGTTGTAAACATACAGTTGTGAATCTGTGATGTGAACATCATCAGCACAACCCTGCTTTAAAGACTTTTGTCACCACCAAAAGTCCCTTTATACCCATTTGCAGTCCCATTGGGAGTCATCTCTTTACAGTCTCCCTGCCTTTGTCCCCAGGGCCCTCCCAAGCCCTCCTCATAGCCATGTGCACAGAGAGTGCCATGGTGGCCAAGGAGCCCCAACCTCAGCATCAAGCATCCTTAGGCCATCACCATGCTTCCTTCCTGTTAGGTGGTGAATAAATAGACAGCCCCATGGGCAGACCCACATCCTAGCACCAGCCACCTTCCTGGCCACCCATGTACTGTCAGGGCTAGACCACAAAGGACAAAGAACATGGATATGGCATCAGAAGACCTGACAAGGGGAGCCCCAGTTCAACCCCTCACCAAGTAAGAGCTTGCCTAATCCTTGAGGCCTGTCTAGTGCCTCAGTCTGTGGTATGGCCACTATGTGAAACCCTGGGTGAGGGGTAGGGTACTGAGAGAGAGCTACTGAAGTCAGGACCAGACCTCAGTTGAGATACAGTGGGAGGGGAGTGGCTGTGGAATGTGGGTAGGATGGTTGGTGTATTAGTCATGTTCTCTAGAGTAACACAACTTATAGAATGAATATATGTAGGGGGTATTTATTATTATAATGACTTACAGGCTGTGGTCCAGCTAATCAAACAGTGACTGTCTATGAATGGAAGGTCCAAAAATCTAGTAGTTAATGACACTGGATGCCTCAGCTAGTCTTCAATATATGCCAGAATCCTGAGGAAGTAGGTTCTAATGCCAGTGAAGGAGTGGACTTATTAGCAAAGTAAAAACAAATAGGCAAAGAGTAAAACTGACCTTCTTCCATGTCCTTATATAGGCTTCCAGAAGATTGCATGACTCAAAATGGAGGTGGGTCTTCCCACTTGAAAAAAATCTATATTCAAGGTATTTCTTCCCACATCAAAGATCTGACTTAAAGGTGTATCTTCCTACCTCAAAGATCCAGATTAGAAGTGGATCTTTCTGCTTCAAAGTAAGCAAAAATCCCTCACAGATGTGCCCCGTTTTAGGGTTTTAGTTAATTCCAGATGTAGTCAAGTTGACAACCAAGAACAGTCATCACAGTTGAGGAAGGAGAAGGGTCACAAAATGGACCTTTCACAGCATGTAATTCTTCTAGAGAGCTCAGAATAGTATTGCAACGTGGGGCAGTTGGAAGGAAACCTCATCACAGAACACAGCCTTTCAGAGACACCCAAGCAACTGCAGTAAGTAGTTCTGGTATCCTGTGGATTCTTGGGATAGTGGCATAATTCCCCACTTGGCTTAGGGTCTCCAGCATCATGGTCCCCATGGAGTTCTCTCATCTACAGTAAGGCTGGCTGATGTAACTCATCACATCAATTCAGAACTAGCCATGTCCAGAGCCATGCAGTGTGGGTTCTATGTGGATTCAACCTGGCTCATCCCTCCTCCTGCTCAGGAAGACTAGGGAGGAACCCCCCCCCTTAGAGTTCCAGGCCCATTTGCATTATGGGGAGCAGAGCAGAGCAGACACAAAAGGCAGACATACTGCTTCTGTGTTCGATCTACCCAGGCATCCCTGTGACCAGAGGAAAGAAATTTCCAGCCACTGAGGGACCCCAGTTAACCCATCCTGGACCCCAGTAGGACTGACTACACATAGGCTGCCCCTCACATTCCCAGTATATTTTCTTTCGGACAAGTGGCACTCCAACCCTTGCCCCTACCTAACCCACAGAAAGTAGGCCACAGCCCTGTGGAATCTCAGTCTAAGGAGAGGAAAGACTAAACATACACCCCCCCCCCCCGATCTGAAATCAGCCCTCCCTCCTCCTGAGTGATAATACACTTCTTCAGTAGTCCTGGCTGCTCAGCACAGAGGCAGTGAGCAAGACAGATGACCCACAGAGAACCCAGAGTATAAGGAAAGGCACGCATGTGCACTGTGGTCCCAAGAGACTTCAGCAGCCTGGGAAAGAAACCATTACACAGGTGACCTCGGGTACAGGCCAAAGACCAGAACAAAAGAGCAACAGAATCTTGATGGGGGAAGCACTATGAGACAGCATAGGGCCTTGGAGGGGAGCCGTGGCCATTCATACTGGGAAGGCTGGTGCAGTGAGGGAAAGCCGAGGCTGGAAGTATAGCCAGGGAAGGTCTTGCAGAGTATCTGCCGTGAAATTTAGATGGCATGAGGAACAGGGAGAGGTTTCTGAGAGATGCCCAGGAGGCTGTGAGAGGGAGTTGGAGGACAATGGTCGACCATCACCATAGACATTTCAGCTGTATGGAGAAGAAAGGGCAGGTCTGCACTGTGTCCACAGACTTGCTTCATGATGGCTTTCAACTGTGTTGTGTCAGCAGTTACCAGAGCCACCGCACGGCTCTCTTTGTCCCGCCATTTGATTCCCTGTTGGAAAATCAGTTGCTCACAAGTTTCTGGGTTCATACAGCCTAAAATAGGAAGAGCCACAAGGATGGGGATCTCCAAGTGACAGACTTACCGAACAGCCATGGTTGTCCAAGGGACCACCCAGCTCCCACTGTACCCAGGATAATCACAAGCCTCGTTGTGACCATCTGGGTCCACTGCCTCTTATCTCAAGGTCCAAAGTGACATTCAGATCATACCAGACAAATAGTTCTGTTGGAGAGGTAGGTTGTGGGGGTCCTCAAAATACCTTTTATTTAGCAAACCTTGAAAATATTGCCTACTTTACTGTAATTATTCGGGTTTCTAGGTATCTGTGACCGCATGTGCTCCAGAAGCTAATGCTTCCTCTAAACAAAGAAGCAAGGAAATCCTCCAGAGATGACTCTGGAATCTTTTGGGTTTCTTTTCTGAGCTGCAGAAGGAGCCATTGAGCATAAACGGGCTTGGGGGGCTTCTAGGAATCCTTTCCCTCTCCACCCCTCCATACCAGCTAAAATCACTGTGAAGAACACAAACACACACAAAAATAGTCTTATCCTTCGACAATAAGTAAATGTTTTGTTCTGGTGCCCTTCCACTTACAGCATGAATTTAATTGGCTCATTTGAGGGGCCATCAGAAACTGCAGGGGCCTTCACTTCAGTGGAAGAGGGGCAAGCCTGTGGGATGCAGTCCCATGGAAGTTTTTGTTTAAAGACAGGAAATTGTGGTCTGGGTCTGGTTTAGAGACACATTTGGCCGGCCCAGGGGTCAGCTATTCTGCCTTTGCTTTGGAACAGAAGCCTGGCTATCTATTAAAGCCATTCAGCCAGGGGCAAGCAGAGCTTTAACTACAAATGAAGAGGTGGGGGCCGCTCAGAGTGAGCTCTGGATCCACAGCAGGAAGCAAGGATGACAGCAAGTGTTCTCACATGTAGAGAATTTTCTCGATTCTCTCGGAATGTTGGAACCTGGACAATACATCAGTGGGAAAAATGAGGTCCATCAGAGAGAGGCGAGTTTCTCAAAGACACAGATAGCCGACAACTGAATCATCTGAGTTACATACGTCCATCCTCCGGGCATGGTTCCTTTCCCAGAGTGCAGATGACCCCTTCTGTGCTCTGGTTCTGACTAAGGTACACAGAGACGCACAGTACTCCATTCACCTGGGATGCTTCATCTAATGCCCTGCTCTCTGCCTTTCTCCATGTTACCTCCCATCACTCATTGACAGAGTCCCAAAGGCAGAAAACACTGACTCCCTATTCAAGATGGCTAGTAAGATCGAGTGACAGATCTTTGGAAGAAATGTGTAGACAGAATCCAGCCTCGTAGCCCAGAGCCCTTGGCTCTGCAGAGAAGTTACACACATGGTCAGGTAAGGTCAGCTGCCTCAGAGGGTGGGGGCTTCTAGAACACTGGTAGGAAAGAAGTCTACCTGTATGACATGCTTAAGTGGAGAAGACTAATAGAACTATCCATAAGGCGATGAGCACTATGCAGACAAACATGCTTTAGGAGGGGTCAGGGCCAAGCCTGGACATATCCATGTATGTTGCTGGTGACTCATGCTCTAACTTCAGTGTAGTTACATAGTCATAATTGAAGCCGTATGGTTGCAAATCCAAGTGTTTATCACCCAGTCCATTACAGAAAGCTGCTAACCCTGCTTTAGTTGCCAGTGGGTCTAAATGCAAGACAAGGTACCACCCCTTCCCACATGTGACCTTGGGGTGCCAGTTTTTACCTTGGTGCCCCAGACCTCATAGACTCATGTACAGGAAAGCACCAACTCAAGGTGTAGTCCACATGCTTAATCAGTGGTCGCTGTCAGTCTTCTGAGAAGGAAGTCTAGGGTCCGTGACTTGACTGGTCCTTGGGGTGGCAGGAGGTGGGCTGCTGGGCAGAATAGAATTACTTTCTTCTTGGAAAGTATTCACAAACACATTTCCTCATTGTTTCTGCATCTGTTGGTTTATAATGTATATTGTTAGTGGATGCATATGTGTGTGCATATGCGTGCATTCGTGAATGAGTGCACACATGCGTGCATTATGCCCCTGCACAATCGGGTTACAGGTATACTCCACCATGCCCTGCTTTTACATGGATACTGAGGGATCCAAACAGGTTCTCATGCTTGCAAGGCAGGCATTTCAACTGAGCCGACTTCCCAGGCCTTATTTTTTTTTTAACTTCTTTTTTTTTCCTTATCCAGATATTGGCTGACCAACAAAGTCCACATAAAAAGACCAACTACTGGCCTCTTGATGTATACCCTGGCCACACGCTTCTGCAATCAGATCTACCTCTATGGCTTCTGGCCTTTTCCACTGGATCAGAATCAGAACCCTGTCAAGTACCACTATTATGACAGCCTCAAGTATGGCTATACCTCCCAGGCCAGCCCCCACACCATGCCCTTGGAATTCAAGGCCCTCAAGAGCCTGCATGAGCAGGGGGCATTGAAACTGACTGTCGGCCAGTGTGACGGGGCTACGTAAGGATGGCAGCGCATGGGACTCAATGGCTCACTTTCCTGCCAGCTACACCACAGGCAGATGGGAGTCGGGGTGGCACAAACAATAGAACAAGCAGGCTAGTGGTTTTCTTTGTTAAAGTGTAAAACAGTGACCAGAATATATATATCTATACCTGCATATATATATTGACCTGAGTATTTATAACTGTGTGGTGTTCATCTAGCATTAGGCAGATAAGCCACAGGAAGAAGGTGTGGAGAACCCACCTGGACCAGATGGAGACTCAGTCCATCTTTGGGGGCAGAAGGACTTGACATGCAAAGAAGCCAGTCCCATGACTTTGAATGACAACCCGCCTCCTGGGTTGGACAGATCTCTGGGCTCGTGGATGAATGGAGAGCCGCCTATTGTCAGCTTCCCCGAACCTCTGAGTGATGTGGATTCTGGGTAGCCCAGACTCAGAAAGGACAGTGTGAACCAGTCTAAAGAGGTACAGTTCATGGAAGAGAGACTTGGAGAGTTCCGCTGGGCAACGAGGCACAAGGAGACCAAACATCAGAGGTCACAACAGAGCTGAGGACCTTGTTCATGAACTTGAGAGTGCAACTTGACGTTCCCATGGGTAGCACCTGCGTCCCAGCCAGGCCTTCACAGCTCTGGAGAGAGGCTGGAGGAAACTCAATGGACAGCCCCATAGTCTGACTGGACAAGTGCCGTCCAGAGCTTAGTAGTGGGGAGCAGCAGATGGTCCTAAAGAGGTACAGTGCTGTAAATCATGGTTTTAGAAACTTGAGACCATCTAGGGGTTTGCTCCACCTCAGAAAAGGACAAAAGAGTGTCCAAAATATGGTTATTTTGTTGGGTGTGCTTTACAGCAACGGAGGCCTACCGAGGAGGAAGTGATCCTGGGGCGTCAACTTCCAGGTTAGCCTTCATCTCATCTTCTAAGAATGTCACATGAGGGAACTCTACTGTCCTGTCTACCACCAGAAAGACACAGCGAATGCTCGAAAGGGCGCAGTCACCATAGGGATCATCCTGTTCACAACGTATACCATCGCCTTTCTAGGCACCTCACAGAGCCTCAGACCCGTACTCCTGAAGACTGTGGAGCACCCGGTTCTGGGTCGCTATGGTCACGCTCTGTTTGCTTTCTGCACCCTGCACTCTGAGGGTCCCCTGCAGCCAGACTGCTCTGTCAGCATCACCTTCTTGTCACTTCCCGCATCTTAACAGTCATCCCTGCCCACACCAAGCTCCACACCGTGGAGATTTTCAGCTCTTCTGGGAAAGGTTCCAATGTCCACTCTACACACCTGCTGACCCCCCACCCCACCCTCACACAAGCAATGACTGCAGAGTTTTTGCAAAACCTTTTCCCCCCTCTATGAAGATTCACACTTAAGACTTGTTTTTCTTGTAGAAGCCCAAAGCTAAACACAGTTCCGAACACTGGACATAATCTCCAAGGGAAATCTGGGCTCAATGCCAATAACGTAGGGGTTGGACTTACAGGTCACACGCAGCAAAGCCTTATCCAGCTTGATTTGTTAGATGCAGTCCCTTGCCTGATAAATAATGGTTTTTTAAAACATATTTGAAAGATAAGAAAAAAAACTATTATCTTGAAGGTGAATAGAGTTAAGAAAAGTAATCAAGATCTGCTCCCAAGCATATGAGGCCTGACGTAATTAATCAACAGCCATTCAGAACAACATTTGCTCTCAACTAACGGCTGATGGGAAGTGAGCAGAGACAATGGGGGGACACCCTAGCACCATTAACCCTGTGTACGGTTCTTCTGGCCCCAAGTCAGGATGAGGATCGTACATCTCCATGTTTCTCTCTTTATTCTTGTTACAATCTGAAGCGTGTGGTTTGGGATTTGCATCATAAAATGAATATTTAAAAAAGCAACAGCCCTAACAGCCTCCCTGGGAACTGAGTGGTTCAGCCTCCTTGTGAGCAGTGGAAATAATTAGTATCATATTTTACATGTCTCCAGAGCCTTTCATCTTAAGGATCTCAAAGGCTCTAGAAGACATTTAATTTCTGAAGTTTGCAGCGCCCTGGAGGAATAGGTAAAGTCACCAGCAGGGCCTTGCATTAGTAAAGCCCTTGGATGTCGGCGTAGTCCATGTGGAATCATGAAGAAGGCCCAGAAGTCAGGTTCTGGAGGTGACCCTGAACTCCACCCAGCATCCTCTCTCTCTGCAGAGGAGTTAGAGGGCCAGTTGTCGAACTGGACTTGGTCAGGCTGTAACCGGATTGGAAAAAGTCAGCAACCCCAGGACTGCCCATATATGCCCTTTTCCTAACTCAGCAGGCCCTAGGCTATCTAAATGATCTGGGCATATAGCAGCAAGAGTCTGTGAGCCTTGGCTTTCCCTCTCCTCCTTCTTCTCCAGTCAAGTGTCCTTTACTGCCTACTGAGAACTCCCTGGGCTGGCTTCCATTCACCTGGGCTGGCTGACCTTGGCTGGCCCCCAGGAGGCACAGCCTGCACTCTTAACCTGATTGCGGCCACCATAGTCAACCATAGCGTCCCATCAGCCTCAGCCGGTCCCCACTACTTTTGGCTATCAGTCACCTCCTCAGTCCACCCTCCTAAGCCTGCCAGACCTCCATTTACTTTGAGCTCCCAATGACTCCAACCTTAGCCTCTGCCGTCACCAAAAAAAAAAAAAAAAAAAAAGAAAAAAGAAAGAAAAAAAGAAAAAGAAAAAACTAGGCATTTGCCATGATACCTTCCCTCAGAAACTCTTGGCCTCTGCCTCCCACTTACCCTCCATTCTCCCATTTCTGAGTAAGTGAGGCTCCTCCTCTGACCAGGACGTCCTTCCTCTCATATCTCCCATTTCTTCACTGGCCCCCTTGCATTCACCCTGATTCCTATAGCCTCTTCACTGGATTCCTCCACTACCAGACCTTGGCAGGCTCAACTGTCCCTGTAGCCACCAATCCCCTCGACCACACCTTAGCGGCCCCTCCTAGCCCATTCCCGGGACCAGCGTCTCAGTGCCCTCCATGTGCTAACTCGAAAGGCCTCTCTCACTGCACAGCTCTACGTGAATTGTCCTGGGCAAGATACTGTGTTCTTAACATTTTACCCCTCCTATCCCAACCTCCATGACCATTTATTTATATATTTATTTATGTATTTATGAGTTATTTATTGGCACTCCTACCTTGAGTTGAAAAGGGAGCCAAGGAAGATCTGCCTATTTTTCCCTCTCTTCTCCCTGTACTGCAAAGTAGCCGTTCCTTCCAGTAAGATCCTCCCCACAGGCCCCTGCACGGTGCATCAGCAGTTCTGTGCCTTCCTTCAGATCTAGCTACCACCACCCAAAGAACACCTTCCACTCCCCTTAGCCTCCTAGCACCACTGGATGCTCTGGCCCCAGGATGACGGGCTGCTTGTTAAACATACTCTACCTGCTCTGACATTTGGAACTCAACACATCTGAAGCTAAGTAGACCATCCATCTTCCCTGCACGATCCTTTGTTTTCCCATTGGAACACCAGTGAGTCTTTGAACATCATCTGGGACCCTACGGTGACCACTGACGCTTCCATACATTCCCTCATTACTCTTCCCAACTAGTCCCAACCGCACCTCTGCTTGACCCATGGATTCCTTAGTAGTGGTCTCTCTCCCAGACCTCCCTAAGCATGCACAATGGTCTGTACCTCCAGTTCTTCAAAAACCTTGATAAGATTCCCCTGGCCCACAAAAAAATGTGCCCATCTTTATCCTAACATTACAGGGCACCCAATCAGGTCCCTTCATACCCTGCACTGGCTAATCCAGAAGAGTTGTTGTTAGTGGAAAAGGTGCCATGTTTCCCGGCTCTGTGCCTTTGGCCTTACAATTCTCATCTTCTGGATCACTCTTGAGTTTCTTCCAAGGCCCATGCAGAGACCACATCCTCCATGAAGCCCTCCCTGATCCACCATTGCTGGGATCTCTCCCTTCACGGAACCACCGCAGCACTTTATTTCTACCTTTCTCATGGCACTTACCATATTCTGCCTTGTATTATAGCTACTTGTGCACTTGTCCTCTGTCTGTTCTTAGACTGTAAGCTTGCCAAGGGCAGGCACCATTTTATTCATCTGTATCCATCACAGCACTAGGCGTGGTGCATAGCACACAAGGGTTGCTCAATAAATGTTTGTTGGATTAAATCCTGGATGTCTACAGAGGCCTTTAATAGTGAACAAAACCATTTTGCATCTATCATGTCACAAGAACCTTCCAAAAAGTCATGTGGGTTGGACCTAAGCAAAGTAAATAGGTCATTAAACTGAGGCAAAGGCCTACATGGAATTTTCAACAGAGTTCTACCCTCCCTCTAGGGCTTTTTCTATAAATCCCTATGGTTGGAGCATTCGTTGTAAAACTAAAAATTGACTTTAGCTAGATGTGGACTTGGCTGCCCCAGGTCACTATTGCATCTTCCTAGGGCAAACCTTAGTATGAACTCCAGCACATATGCCCATCAACACGGGCAGATTTTCACTGTTTCTGGGGAGGACAGACACCATTTGGGTTTTCTCAGACCCTGGGGGGTTGAGACGTGGGACCTCATTCATCATTCCCAGCGCTGTTGTTGCAGGGTGGGAAACCATCCATCCAGATGGCAGAGAAAGCAGTGGCTCTAAGAGGCCGCTGTTTGATGAATGTCTTCATGCCTAATTAAGGCTTTCCTTCCAGAATGGAACAGAGACGTTTATTGATGCCAGTCAGATGGGACTCCAGACATGAATGCTACCTCATAAATGACCTTAACAGCATCTCCAATGACACGAACACCCCACCCCACCCACCATCTCTCACCAGCCCTCTGGATATCATCTTTGCCATCTCCATCCCCATACTTTCACCTCCCTTCTCCTGCTACTCTTCTCAAACATTCTGGGGAAGGGTGTGGAGAGGGGTCATATAGGTCTGTTTCCTGAATGTGGAAGTGGCCACCCTCTGAGGTAATCGCTAATGGTTCTGTCTCCAGTGAAACCATCCCCTGGCTGAGTGTCAGCTCTTATTCTTGGGTTCCTGAACCCTAACCCAGGTATTGTGAGACGGCAGTGAGGAAAGGGGGAGGCAAAGCACTTAATACCATCCCTCATGGAGGCAAAGAACAAATGACTTCTGTTCTGGTGGTGGGCTGCTCACAACAATGGGAGGTTTCCATGGTTACCATCTAGCGTCAGTATAGGTTGCCTTTGGGCATTATAGAAATAGTTGGGTTTTCATTCTCAGCAGTCCAGGTGGTGGGGGAATCTTCTTCACACATGGTGCATATACAGCCCCTAGGCAGGGTCTGTCTAGTCATTCCAGTTGCCTTTGACCAAAGCCCAGGAGAATCACCCAACCAGGACACTAAAGGGCCTTTGTGGCCTGTCCCATCTTCCCCGCCATTTCCTGAGCCATTACACTTTCCCATGCAAGAAGACTAGCAGGGAAATGGGCCTTCCAAAGGGGCCTCCAAGAACTGTCAAGAAAGGTCCAAATGTTCTATCCAAGAAGACAGCTTCAAATAATAAAGAGGCTTCTACGGAGCTGATGCCGGACCAGCTAGGAGCCGTCAGTTCTCAGGCAATTGTTGGAAAACGAAGACCCAGGAAGTAGGAAAATTAGCCTTAGTATGCCAGTCACACAGAGGCATGAAGGGTCTCAGACAACAAACTGAGGTGAGTCAAGGCTGGTGCAAGAAAACATCCTCCAGTGTGGCTCCATTTGCTTAGACAAGGTTGTAACAGTGAGGCTGCTGAACAGTTGGTGAAGGGCTCACTGGTCATCAGGATTAGGCCCCTGCGAGTTAGGGAAGACATGACTCCTTTGTGGCATTATTGTGAAAATACAAATCAAGAACAGGCTAGATACAGAAATGGGTTGAGGAACAGTAGGAAAGCCCAGTGCCGTGGAGCAAAGCTCTGATGGTCAACCTTCCAGCAACACCCAATCATGCCCTTGCCCTGGTCATGCCTACCAGGCTCTCTTCCATCCTGGGAAGAAAATCTCAAGCCCTGTACCACAACTCTTAAGCTCTCCTACCTCTGACTTACCATTCTGGACACCTAGCCTTTATTTTCCTGTAACTTTTCTGAATTGTTCTGGTCTCAGGGCTTTTGTGGCTGCTATTCTCTCTGCTTGGAAAGCTGATTCATCTCCACCTTTGGCCTCCTCCTCGTCTTTAATTGGATGTCACATGCTGGGGAGTCCTGGTCCTTCTCAGCTAATCCCGTTCAATTACATATCATATTGTCCTAGTAGGTGGCCTTCAAAAACTACAGAAATTCTACCTATATCCCCATGAGACACATGCCAATACCTCCTGAAATCACAGCGAGTATCAAAGCCCAAGTGCACTGGTTTTTCTATACATGTCAACCTATGATAAACATTAATTTATAAATTACACATAATAAGAAATAAACAACAACTAAACATAAAATAGGACAATTATAAGTCAATTGTTCCCTTGTTTATTGCCTGCAACTCTTCTCAAATGTCCTGGGGTGTGTATGGAGAGGGGTCATATAGGTCTGTTTCCTGAATGTGGAAGTGGCCACCCTCTGACATAGTAGCTAATGTCTCTGTCTCCGGGGTAACCATTCCCCGGGCTCTCAAGAGCCGCAGGCAAGCATTGAATTTCTCACAAATGAGGTTTTCTCCCCTCAGGCCCTAAGCTGTGGTTTGAACATTTCTAGAAGGTTCCATGGAGCACTCAGGTGCTCCCTGACTCTCACCAGGAACCACTACCCAGAGCCACTTCCTGAACTCTTGTGACCTCTTCTATGGCATCCCCTTGGATCCTGGCTTGAGGTCCTTCCTTTATTTCTTGTTACTGAGGTTTTCCTTTGTTGGTTTCAGGTTCGACTGTATTTTGTGTGGTCATTTGATGATGCTTGGATTTTTTTTTTTTTTAATGTGTATGGGTATTTTGTCTTCATGTATGTCTGTGCAGCTTGTATGTGCCTGGTGCCTGAGGAGGACAGAAGAGGTGGAGTTACAGATGGTTATGAGTTACAATTTGGGTGCTACAAATTAAGCCTAGGTCCTTCAGAAGAGCAGCCAGTTATCTGAACCACTGAGCCATCCCTCCAGCCCCTGCTGCGTGAGCTAACATGTGCTTACAGTGGGAAGAGAGGACTGACATGTTGCCTGCCTCCCTGTGAGGACAGGGGTCTTGACTGGCATGTTCACTGAGGTATCTCTAGCTGCTAGAACTATGCTTGGCACATAGTGAGTGCTTCACAGACTCCTGTTGTATGAACAAAATTACACAAAAGCAAAATGTGAAATATTGATGTGAAAGTTCTTTGAAAAAAGATATGGACCCAACTGATCCTTGGAATAGGGGGAAAGGAAGCCTACGTCTTAGTCAGGGTTTCTATGGTTGCAAAGAGACACCATGACCACTGCAACTCTTATAAAGGAATACTGGGGCTGGCTTATAGTTCAGAGGTTTAGTGGCAGCGTGCAGGCAGACATGGGGCTGGAGAAGGAGTTGAGAATTCTGCATCTTTCTCTGAAGGCAAAAGAAGCAGTCTGTGTGCTACTCTGAGCATAGCTTGAGCAGAGAAGACCTCAAAGCCCACCCCCATGGTGACATACTTCCTCCAACAAGGCCACACCTACTCCTACAAAGCCACACCTCCTTTCAACCCACCACACCTACTTTTAGAAACATGCCAGAACTTCCCCCAAGAGGAGAAGTAATTACTCCCACTTTCTCACAAAACACCAAAAGTTGGGCTGAACAGTCATTAAGTGGCTAAATTGCTTTCCTTGCAGACACAGGACCAGAGTCTGATTGTCAGGATCCATGATAAAAAAAAAAAAAAAAAACAGGTATGTGGTATGTACTTGTAATGCCTATACTGGAGGGACAGCAATGAGTGAACCCCAAAAGCTCACTAGCCAACCATCCTAGCCTAATCAGCCAGCTCTGGGCCAATGAAGATCCTGTCTCCAAAAAAAAAAAAAAGAAAGAAAGGGCACGGTGCCTAAAGAATGACACCTAAGGTTCTCTTCTGGCCCCCACATATATTTGTACACAATGCGTGTGTACCCTCACACACATGTGCAAGCACACAAACATGAGCTTATATATATATGCACACCAAACAAACAAACAAAAACCCCAAAAGTTTATTTGGGCTCACAATTTCCAGTTTCAGTCTATGGAAACCTGACCAAATCATTGTTGGGCCTAACAAAAAAAAGAACACTGTGAGACATGGCAGAGGAAAACCACTCATTCGCGGTGGACAGTAGCAGGGGCAGAGCTAGCATTCCACATCCATTCAAGAGCACACCCCCAATGACCTAACTCCCTCCCACTAAGCCCCATCTCCTGAAGGTTCTACCACCTCCCCAAAGTGCCATAGGCTGCTAACCGAGCCTTTAATACCTGGGCCTTGGGGACATTTAAGACCCAAATCATAGAACTTCCTACAATATTCAACCATGTCAACAGCTCTGTGTGCTGTAATTGGATTGGATTACCAAGGTCTCAGAAAAATGTGTCCAAGATGCCAAAGTTCATGAGCAGGAGCGCATAGTCTGAGAACAACGCCAACCCCATTCACACCATCTGCCAACACTGTTCACACCACCTGCCAACACTGTTCACATCAGCCCACCCACAGCCATCGAAGGCCACGTAATTATATCACCTCTCAAACATCTGGTCATTACATGAATCTATACCAGAAGGAGAGGAAGATGGGACTCTACCACTCAGTCCCCACCCCCTAGGCTCTGTTCTGCTTTGGTTCTTCCCACTAGTGCAATGGGTATAGATTCAGAACACACACGTACAGCAATGTGTGTTAAAGTGTTTTCTAGGCAGGATCCTGGCTCCAGCACTGCCACCATCATCTATTCTGATATCCAGGGCCCTACTGGGGTGCCAAATACTTTATATAGCCCTCAGCAAGCTAGGAGGCAGAAGGGATGTTTGGGTGTTTGAACCATGGGAGGGGGCACCGGAGAGTTCCTCTGTAGTGTTTCTGTGATGGAAATGCCTGGAGAAGGAAGAGGCTTTCCTCTTGCTTGTTTTGCATGGACACATCCTTGACCCATAGCGGATGTTCTGGGTAGCTCGTGTGTGTACAGATGATTCAATTAGGAGAGCGCTAAGAGAGGCACAGAAAGAGAAGCGTCTTCTGACAGTGTG